CAGTGAAACCATCACCACCAACAACAAAAGTGCAAAAATGCAAAAATCATGGCACCAAATACGCCCAAAAAAGGACCCTTGGTTACAGTATGAGAACTGAAACAAGAATGCAGAGTGTCACCTTGTTTGACCTCAACTGAGAAAGTGTACATCAGATGACTCAAACTTTCCGATGCTCTGCCCATGTCAACAAGAGCTACAAAAGTACCACAACTATTGATTTGGGGTTACAAATACATTTTAGCAAGTAGGTGAATTCACAAATATGGAATCCATGGAGCCTAATGGACTTATGAGGATGGTAATTATTTCTTAATTATTATTAAATACTATGATGAGGATTTACTGTATATTCATATCACAGTCAGTTTACACATAAGTAAATATACCTAGCTCTGATTCCAGAATGTGGTCTTCATTAAGTCGTTCTAGGTATCATATGTGGGTTCCAGAGTTGGGTAATTCATCCTGACTCTTCAAATTAGACTTCAAGTGCCCCAAGGCAGGACTAGGTAAAGAGAATGTGGTCGATAATACTTGCTTAGGCCTGGATACACCACCTATTACCCCTATGCGTTTGTCAGTAGGATGTTAAGACCAAAAAATGTGTGGGTACACAGTGAGACATATGGCAAACTCACCTCCACATAAATTGATACAGTCCCAGGTAGGAGGGATGAGGGCTGCAACCTTCATCACTGGCCTGTGTCCAGGAATTTGAATTGCCTGAGCTCATTTTTTAGTATTACTTCAAAAATCTTCCAGTGCTGAGACCATGTGTGCTGCTGAGACATGGGTGGAGGGCCCCCATCACTGCCTTGGTTCCCACCATTGAGCTATTCTGGCCAAAGACTGCTGCCTCCCAGGGGTTACACAGGTTACATGCTCTGTTGTGCCTCAGTGCCGCACTTCCCAGGACCCTACCTTCTCAGAATTGGTATTCTGAGAAGTAGAAAAAATCTCTGTATTAGTTTATTGAGGCTGCCATAACAAACTACCACAAACATGGTGATTTAAAACAACAAAAAGTATTCTCTCACAGTTCTGGAGGCCAGAAGTCTGAAACCCTGCAGGGCTGCCCTACTTCCAGAGACCCTAGAGGAGAATCTTTCCTTCGCCCCACATTTGGTGGCACAGGTGTTCCTGGACTTGTGGTCTTGTCACTCTAGTCTCAGCCTTCCTCTTTACATCTTGTCTGTGTATCTCTTACTAGAGGCCCAGTGCACAACATTTGTGCACAGGGGAAGGGTGTCCCTCAGGCTTACCTGAGCCCTTGTGCAGTCCGGAACCCCTTAGGGGATGTCCACTAATGGTTTAGGCCCGCTCCTAAGTCGTCAAACATCCTTAGTGCTGCTGCTGAGGCGGTCCCTGCCCTAGCCAGCCATCAGCCCGGCTTGTAGCAGAGCTGCGCTCCCCCTGTGGAAGTGCACTGACCACCAGGAAGCAGCTCCTGCATTGAGCTTCTGCCCCCTGGTGGTCAGTGAGCAACATAGTGACCAGCCCTTCGGACATCCAATCCATTTGCATATTACCCTTTCATTATATAGGATAAGGGCATTTATTTGTCATTGGATTCGGGCTCCATCCTGATAATCCAGTATGATCTTGTCTCAAGATCTTTATCTTAAGTACATCTGCAAAGACCCTTTTCCAATAAAATCATATTTATAGATTCCAAGAAGTGACATGGACATTCTCTTTTAGTGGGGTCAGAGTCACCATTGAGCCACTACACTCTTATTTAACCCATTCTTATCTTTTTTTTTAATCTGAAAATTAAAGTGGTTCCCTGGTCTTAGAGTTAACTGGGGGGAAAATAAAACAAACCAAACAAACAAATAAACAAACAAACAAAAACCTCCCTTAGTTTTAGTCCAAAGGCCTTTACTTCCCAAGGCCCAGATAAGTCCCAAGCTGGAGCAAATGATCAGTCCCTAAGATTGATATCTTCCCAGTTTCCCCACTCATCTCCCCTAGAGCTCCCTCACACCTCTTCCACCAACACTACTGAAGCATCACTTGCGATGTTTCCCACTGTCAGCATCTGCTGGGATGATGGCTTCCCAGGGTGAACACTGCTGGGACAAAACCAGGATCCTCTCCAACCCCCAGCCCCAACCAAAGATGCATCCCTAAACCAAAATCTTAGTAAATGTTTGCATCTAAAATTAAACTACATGAGAGGCTTTATAAAACTAGTACTCAGTAAATATTTATTGAATGAAGAAATAAATAAACTCTAGCCTCTTTCACAATTAAATCTTTATCATTTCCCCCTCAATGAATTACAGTGTACTGCAATTATTGGACAGGTGAAACACTTGTTGAATTCAATTGAATCAAACCTGAAAACAAAAATGAAATAGAATAAAATGAAATAAACCCATGCTGATGGTTAATTTTATGTGTCAACTTGGCTGGGCCATTGCTCTCAGATAGTTGGTCAACCACTATTCTGGATGTTTCTGTGAGTGTGTGTATGGATGAGATTTAAGTCAGAGCACTTCCAGGAAGGCAGATTGCTCTCCATACTATGAGAAGGTGTCATCCAAGCCACTGAAGGTGTGACTACAACAAAAGGCTAACTGACCCATGCAAGGGGAATTCTACCAGCAGATGCCTTCGAATTTCATTTATAATATTGGCTCTTCTTCGTTCGTCAGCCTTTGGACTAAAACCACAACTCTTTTCTGAGTCTCCAGCCTGCTGGCCCCCTCCATCAGATTTTGGGCTTGCCAAGCCTCCACAATTGCATAAATCAATTTCTTAAAATAAATCTCTTTCTACATATACACACATCCCATTGGTTCTTGTTTCTCTGGAGAACTCTCACTGAATTAAGCATGGGTGATGCTATGCCAAGAGCCAAACACAGAACCACTGATTTCAAGTTGATATGGCCCTGCTCACTATTGCACTTAAAGGCCTGGTGTCACCCTGGATGGTTTGGCTCAGTGGATAGAATGTCGGCCTGCAGACTCGAGGGTCCCAGGTTTGATTCCGGTCAAGGGCATGTGCCTTGGTTGAGGGCACATACCCAGTAGAGAGTGTGCAAGAAGTAGCTGATCGATGTTTCTAACTCTCTATCCCTCTCCCTTCCTCTCTGTAAAAATATCAATAAAAAATATATATTTTTAAAAACCCTGGTATCCTTAGAAGTCACACTGTATTGTTTGTTTTTTATATCCCACAATCTTGAAAAATACACTCAGTTCATTTAACCACATATATTCTTTATTTTTATGCTTAGGTTTTTGACATGAAGTTTCCACATGCTGGTGGCTGACATGGCTCTCGAGTGTTATAAGCAGGGACAGAAGAACCCACTTCAACTTTCCTCTCAGTCAAAGGTTCTCTAAGTGTGGTCTCCAAGCTGCAGCATCCATATCACCAAGAACGTGATAAAAGTACATATTCTTAGGCCCAGCCACGATCTACTGAATTGGGAACTCTTCAGGGGGGCCCAGGAATATGGCTTCCCACAAGCTCCCCAGGTGATTTTGATGCAAGCTAAAGTTTGAGGATCACTGCCTTAAATTCAGAAGACTAAGACACTTCCCCAATTTTCTCAATTACAGAAGGTGATGCTATTTCTCCAACTACCTGATTATTTGATAATTTTGAGTGGTAGGGTCATCAACAGAATCCTTCTAGATTGGCTGTTTGTAAATAATAATCTTGCACAACCAAAAATACATGTAGATTTAGAAAACAAGTCCAACCTGACTTTTGTTGCACCTCAGATTGGAAAACAGAAAACAAGCAAATTTTCACCAATGCGTAACTCTTACCCTCCACTTTAGATTCAATTTCTTTTCATTCCTTCTATGCCTTCCATCATATTTCACCATGTCACCTAAATGACCTACCTACTCCCTGATTCATCAATTCATCATTCAAGGCCCAGCTAAGGTCCCATCTTCCTTGTGGTGCCTTTTCAGCTACACTGCTCTCTCCCTTTATCAAATACCTGGTTGGATTATTGAATGTTCTCATTTAATTATTTCTTTTCTTTTTAAAAATATATATTTTATTGATTTTTTACAGAGAGGAAGGAAGATGGATAGAGAGTTAGAAACATCGATGAGAGAGAAACATTGATCCGCTGCCTCCTGCACACCCCCTACTGGGGATGTGCCCACAACCAAGGTATATGCCCTTGACTGGAATCAAACCTGGGACCTTTCAGTTCGCAGGCTGATGCTCTATCCACTGAGCCAAACCGGTTTCGGCTCATTTAATTATTTCAATTCAGCATTGGGTTGCATTGGTTTTATCTGTTCTCCCCTCCCTGTACCCCACAAAATACTGCAAAGCTCTGAAGGGCCGGGTATACAACTGTAGGTAGTTGTATATTTCTGCCTTAGTCAGCTGAAGCTGCTAAAATAAAGTACCATGATGTGGGTGGCTTATCAACAATAGAAAATTATGTCTCACAGTTCAAGAGGCTGGAAGACTGAGATCACATATGGTCTGTTCTGATAAAAGCCTTCTTCTGGGGTACAGATGGCTGGTTTCTGGGTGTGTCTTCACTTGCTGAAAAGAGCTGGCGAGCATTCTGATCTCTAATCCCATCCCGAGGGGTGCCACCTTCATGATCGAATTGCCCCCTGAAGGTTCCACCTTATAACAACATCACACGAAGGGGTCTATTACAACATATGAATTTTTGGGTGGGGGGGAGATAATGGGAACACACAAACAGTCTATAACAATACCCATGGCACCTAGCACCATGTTAACACATAGTAGATAAACAACAGGTACTTGTTGAATTGAACTGAATTATAAAGACTTGGTTACCATAAATTTTATTGGTCTCTGGCAGTTGCTAATAGATTTGCCATATATATATATATATGGTTGATTTATTGGTGGGTGTAAGGTGGGGACAGCACCAAGACTCTCTTGAGTGCAGGGCTCACCATTTGTTCAGGGGAACCATGATTAGGGATGTATTTGACCCCACAGCCATCTGGGATGAGGCAATTCTTGGCCACCAGCTCTTCAAACTCATCCGCATTAAACTTAGTAAAGCCCCACTTGGAGATGTGGATCTTCTGGCAGCCAGGGAACTTGAACTTGGTTCTGTGTAGGGCCTCAATCACATGCTCCTTGTTCTGCAGCTTGGTGCAGATGGACATGATGACTTGGCCAATGTGGACTCTGGCCACTGTGCCTTGGGGCTTTCCAAAGGCACCTTCATACCTGTTTGGAGCCTATATTGAGGGCAGCATGAGTTTGAACACAAGTCTCCACCATAAAGGGCTGTATCCAAGGTCCCTTAAGGCAACCCATGCTTAGCAGCAGGTTGGATATCAAGAATGCTGTTGTTTGCAGTCATTGAAAACCAGGCCCCCATGGGGAAAAGAGCATGGTTGACTTAATTGGCTGCAATGTCTATTTTTTATTATGCTATCATGAAGAAGTCTCCATTCCTTGTCCTGGAGGGAAGGGGAAACAAATATGCATAAATAAATAGTACAAATCAAACTGGGCCATTGCAGAGGTGCAAACAAAGTGCTATATAGTCTCACAGAAGACAGGAGGAATCTATATGTTTAGCACCCAGAGCACTGATAGCACTCAGTAAATATTTCTGATGGATTCAATGACGTTCCTATCTTATAGTTTTTGTAGTAACTAGAACAGAATGTGACACATGCTTAAGAAATGTCTGTGGAATGAATAAGTCAACGCTCAAGATAAACTTTAGTGTCCTCCCAGTCTCACAGGCCAGGAGCATACCCTGCTATGTGGTAGACACTCTTGCTCCTAAAAGTTCTTAGTTGAATCCATAGCAGGAATTTGCCTTTAAAGAGGGTGGGTCAGGACTTTGTTCCTGTGTCCGGAAGTTGGGATTCTGTTGAGTGACTACATCACGTTTCCCTGAAAGAGTAAACAATATGTTCTGTATTATCTGATCATTCCCAGGCATCTGCTCAGCAAACTGCATCTCTAGGGACTGAATTCTTACTTAGTTCCTACTAGAGATTCCAAATTTGATACAGTAGAAGGCAGTAGATGGAGCTTCTCATGCTCCATGCTAACATGACTCTTCAGTCCATCAACACAGCTGCCTTTCTTTGAGCTCTGGGACTGCTGAGAAGCCCTGGGCTGAATAAAGTACCTCATCTTTAATGGGGAAGCGGACTTCCCTTGCCCAAGGGATTGGTGCTCCATAAGAAGAAAATTATTTATTTCTGGTATATTGGGAAAGGACAAAATGATGTGAGACATGAGCATCTAAAAGGCCATAAGAGTGAACATGAGAATGATAGCCAAGAGATAGGTATTCCAAGTGCTGCCATTAACTAACTGCATAACTCTGGGCACATTAGAATGTAGGCTTCAGTTCTTTTTGTAGATCAAACAGATTATCTAGTTTACCTCAGATCCTTCTGGCTTAAATATTCATCTTACTGTGTTTTTTACCTATTTGTTATCAGTTTCTCAAAGTAGAATGCCTATCTGGCCAATATCCTGCTTGCTTATGCTTCTGGCTAATATCTCATCATTTCCCACATCCTCTTAGGAATTCTAGTAAATTCTAATATCAGTCCGGTTTCTAAAACATGTAACTAATCTCTAGTTCACTTTGTTTCAACTGCTGCATTTCAGAATCAGCCCTAGTTATCCAGAATATAAATTCAAGACTCTAAATCATAAACAAAGGCATTTTCATGATGAGAACCATCACATTGCTGGCCTCACTAGAGTTCAGAGAGGTCAGAACTATTGAAAGCCAACTATAGAAGACCTTGAGGCCTTCAAGTTCACTGGCCCAGATGGTTGGTATTTTTAGAAACTGGTATAGAGTTACTAATGAGAAATATGAGAGTGATAAAATTACTTCCAGCAGTATTTGTTGGCTGAATCTTGAAGCCTGTTTTGTGTTGTGATGATAACAAGTAAACAACGTGTATAGTAGCGTGCGATTTGATGCAAAAGCTTCTGGGTGGATGCCGAAACCGGTCTGGCTCAGTGGATAGAGCTTTGGTCTGCAGACTGAAAGGTCCCAGGTTCAATTCCGGTCAAGGGCATGCACATTGGTTGTGGGCACATCCCCAGTGTGGGGGGTGCAAGAGGCAGCTGGTCGATGTTTCTCTCTCATGGATGTTTCTAGCTCTCAATTCCTCTCTGTAAAAAATCAATAAAACATATTTTTTATTTTTTTATTGATTATGGTGTCATATAATTGTCCTCATTCCCCCATTTCCATCCCAAACCCCTCCTCACTTATGCTCCCACCCCCTTGTTGTCCATGGCCACTGGCTAGGCCCATATGCATGAACACAAGTCCTTTGGTTGATCTCTTTCCCTTACCCCCACCCTTCCCTACTTTCCCTCTGAGGTTTGAAAGTCTGATCGCTGCTTCTCTTTCTCTGGGTCTGTTTTTGTTCATCAGTTTATGTTGTTCATTATTTCCTCTAGATGTGTGAGATCATGTGATCCAAGGAATACCCTTGTAAGAACCGAAACTGAGACAAGCCATAATGGTTATGCTGAGAGGCAAATGAATCAGTCTGTAGTGAGTTTCTTCCTGGGCCAACAGTTATTTCAAATCTGGTTGGTGGACAAATGGTGGTGATGCAGGTCCAGCCGTCTCTGGTTTGGTCCTGGGCATCCTTCAGCAACTCGCAGCTGCTGTCTGCTGGTATGGCGAGGCTTCATCGGCATCTTCCATCTCTGAATTGTTTCTCTTCTGTCTTCATGGCTGGAGCATTTCTGTCTATTCCTCTCTGTTACAGGAATCCATAAAACATTAAAGAAAAAAAAAAGTTAGCCCTTTAAACTGAATAAGTCATTTCATTTAAAAAATAAAAAAAAAGCTTCTGGGTGGAGCTGATTTTTTTTTTTTTAATCTTCACCCAAAGATATGTTTTACTGATTTTAGAGAGAGAAGGGAGAGAGAGAGATACATCTATCAGTTGCCTCCCAGGTGTGCCCTGACTGGGGATTGAACCTGCAACATAGGCATGTGTCCCATCTGGAAATTGAAGCCTCAATCTTTTGGAATATAGACAACACCGAGTCACCAAGCCAAGGCTAGATGGAATTGGTCTTAAACATCCAAAGAACATACTCTTTATTGCAGCCTCAGAGGAACAGGGTTCTCAGTCTGGGATCTCAGGAAGACTCTTCCTTAATGAACATAATGGCAGCAGAGATGGCCATGCCAGCAATGAGGAGGAGGCAAGTCCTGGTGTAGCTGCCAGTCTCAGGATAGATAAAAAACACAGAGATGTGGGCATCTGAAAGGCCATCCCTATTAACATATGTTAATATGCCATAAAACCTCAAAGGAAATCTCAGAAAACTTTAAGGACAATTTTTGGTTTGTTGGAGTTATTTTTATTTTTTCTTTGTTTTAGACAATCTTTCAGGAAATCAAAACTTTCCATTATTAATCATATCAGTAACTATCATCAACTGAGATGTCTAATACAAAGACTACATGGGATTATCTAAATGTAAATTAAATAAAATTAAAAATGTAGTTCCTTACTACCTACATTATAAATAATCAGTACTCACATATGACTAGTAACTATCATATAAGGTGGCCAGAATATGGAATTTTTATTACTGCAGAACATTCTATTAGACACTCCTGTAGGCACTCTCTACGTGTCTTGTGGGCATTGTTCTTAACCCTCCTCACACCTCGGTATAGTATAAATACTTTCACCTCACTTTGCTGCTCAGGAAACCCAATCTCAGGAATGATTTGGCTAAGTTCATGAACAGAGCAAGTGGCAGAGTTAGGCACAATTTTAAGTTGGTCTGCTTCCTAAGCCCCCGTACTTCTTTGTACCATGTTTCTTGATCATAGTTTCTCATCATGAAATTTCCTTTTTCAAAAAGTCCTTCCAAAGGAATATTCACCAAAGAACAGAACTATCATTGAGCTATTGAGAATTTAAGTAGACAGTCAGTCAAACTACCAAGGTGAAGGGATAAGTTGTCAGAGAAGTGGCATAGGCGTGTCAGGATGCTTATGTGTAAACACACCCTGTCACAGTTAGGCAAACAAGCTTTGGCAGCTGTCACACTTTACCTGATAGGTCATAACCCAATAATGAAGACATCGTTCTAATGTGCTCCTAATGTCAATAAGCCTTAACCTGTCATTTGATATCACCTATAAACAATGAGAAATAAGCAAAATTTATGATTCCATCTTAATGAAATTCATGTTTCGTCTAGAGCAGGAAGGCTGGGTATATAATCCTAAAATGTACCTCAAGAAAGTGTTTTTAAAAATTTGGATAGAAAGACTCCAGACACGAGAAACTAAGTTCATTGAGGAAATGGGTAGCCTTTAATGAAGGGAGAACAAATGTGAGAGCCTTTGCCAATAGAATGATGAAGGCAGGATTATGACTGGAGTCATTGGTCTCTGTGTTTCTCAAGAACAAGAACAAGAACAAGAACAAGCTTTGCCTTTTTTTTACTTCTACACCATGTGTATGCTGCTGGCATACAGTAGTTGCTCATTAATTATTTCTTGAATTGAACCAATTGTAAGAATTTCCTGTCTCCATAAATTCTGATGAAATAATTCGAATAATGGGATAGGTGATATGATGTGGCATTTTGATCAATTTTTGGATAAGAGCAGCCTTGTTCTTCTCTAATATATGCAACACCCTTGTCTTTGATATTGTGCTCAGGTTACGTGGCTAACACGTATTGTGGTTAACCCTCACAAACTCACTTGGAAGACAAGCTTCACCCCAAGCTCCAGAGGTGCAGAGCCTTCAAAGTCAGGAGAACTCAGCTCCAGTGGAGTCTGTGAACCCCACCTCAGACGTCCATACCATGATCTGAGTACAGGCTGTTAAGGCCCTGAAGTTTGGGTGTCCGCCCTGGAAGGCAGTTTGGACAGAAATTACCTCAGCTGTACTCAGACAGGAGAGAGGACAACATGTTTTTGATACAGGGAATAGGGAACCAAGCCAGAGGGCAGTGGAGGGAATAGAGTAACCAGAGGGAAACACTCTGTCTTGCCAACTTTTTTCTACCTCTAGGCACGCAGTCATCTTCAAAGCCACTTCCTTTCAAGGTTACAATGACAGGAGGCAGCTCCCGCCTTACCCCTGCATGCCATGGATACCCATGCCTTATATTAATAGGACATTATCAGCGCAGGTGCCAGGCTCTGTGACTCACAGGGGAACAAAACTGTGGCACGTGTTTGGTGGTTGTGAGCTTTCCAAGAGATCAAATCCCAGCGCTGAAAACTTCTGCTCTGAGTATGGGTAGGAAAGTTTTTCTCTTTTTCCAGAAGGTCTGCCTAATGTCTCCGCGTCAGGGAACAAGGCCAGTGCCTGGGATTGATCAAAGAGTGATTTTACTGTCCCCCATACCTTGGGTTATCGCAGATATGGATA